TTGTTTTTTTAATTTGCCTTTTTTTTTTATTGTGTTATGTTAGTGACCATACAGTGCATCATTAGTTTTTGATATAGTGTTCCAAGATTCGTTGTTTATGCCCCACACCCAGGGCTCCATGCAATACATGCCCTCCTTAATACCCACCACCAGGCTCACCCATTTCCCCCCCCAACCCCCTCTCCTCTAAAACCCTCTGTTTTTTTCTCAGAGTCCACAGTCTCTCATGGTTCATCTCTCCCTCTGATCCATCCCCCCTTCACTTTTCCTTTCCTTCTCCTAATGTCCTCCATGCTATTCCTTATGTTCCACAAGTAAGTGAAACTATATGATAATTGACCTTCTTCTTAGCACTTTGTGATTTCTTATAGTGTCCTTGTCTGGCTTTGGTATCAGGAAAATGCTCACTTATGTAGTAAGACTGGAAGTATCCCAACTCTTCTGTTTTGGGGAAGAGCTTGAGCAGCATTAGTTTTAGTGTTTGGAAGAATTTACCAGTGAAGCCATCTGGTCCTGGACTTTCCTTTGCTGGGAGGTTTTTGATTACTGTTCAATTTTTCTATTTTTCTATTTTCTATTTTCTATTTCTTCATGATTCAGTCTTATATTATTCTAGCTTATATGTTTCTTCTGGGTTTCATTTCTTCTAGGTTGTCCATTTTATTGACATAGAATTGTTCATTGTCTCTTACGATCCTTTGTATCTTTGTAATTTGAGTTATAATGTTTCTTTATGATTTTATTTGAATCCTCTTTTTTTTGTTAACTCAGCCAAAGATTTGTCTATTTTACTTTTCTTTTTAAAAATCCAACACTTATTTTCACTGATGTGTTGTCTTTTCAGTCTGTCATTTATTTCCACTCATATCTTTGTTATTTCCTTCCTTCCACTAATTTTGGCCTTACTTTTTTCTTCTTTTTCTAGTTCCTTGAGGTGCAAAGGTAGGTTGTTTGAGATCTTTCTTGTTTCCTTTACTGTAAGCATTTTTCACCATAACTGTATCTTTTAAAACTGCTTTTGCTATATTCCATAGTTTTTTTGCTATGTTGCTTTTCCATATCATTTGTCTCAAGGTATTTCTTTTTAAATTTCTACTTTGATTTGTTGGTTGTTCAGAAGGATGTTGTTTTATCTTCATGTAATTGTAGAATTTTTGGTTTTCTTCTTGTAATTGATTTTTAGTTTCATATCTTTGTGGTCAGAAAAGATGCTTGATATGATTTCAGTTTTTTAAATTTATTAAGACTTGTTTTGTGGCCTGACATATGGTTTATGTTGAAGAATCTTCCATGTGTGCTTGAGAAGAATGTGTATCCTGCTGCTCTTGGATGGAATGTTCTGTAGGTGTCTGTCAGGTCTGTCTGGTCTAACATGTAGGGTAAGTCCAATCTTAAGGCACTTAAAAAAAGACACTGTTCTAAGTCTTCTGCTTTCATAGTTTTTGTTGGTCAGCTATCAGTTTTATTGATGCTACTTAAAAGTAATTTTTTTTAAACTCTCTGGTAGCTTTTAATGTTTTTGTTTGATTGTCAGCAGTTTCTGTGGTGCAGCTGGATATTAGTTTTCTTTTTTGGTCGGGGATTCTTACGACTTTTTGAATCTATAGTTTGATATCTTTTATTGGTTTTGGGAAATTCTTTCTCCTCATTTCTTTAGGATTATTTCTGCCCCATTCACTGTCTCCAAGGATTTCAGTGACAGACACATAGGACTTCATAACTTATCCCCTGTGTTGTTCTGTCTTCTAGTTTCTCTCCTCATATTTTTGTTTATCTTTGTTTCTCTCTGGATATTTTTTTCTGATGTAGCTTCTATTTCTATAATTTTCACCTGTGTGTCTTTCCATTTTATTCTTAATAAATTTGTTATTGACTATTTTTGTTTTTAGAATTATGCGATTCTTTTTCAAATTCTCTATGGTCTTCCTTACCACCCTAGTTTCTAGTTTCTAGTTTTCTGTCAAAGTTCTCAGTCTTTCTGAATAATCTTTATGTACACAGTATTTATAGTTACTTTAAAGTATCTGATAATTTTACCATCTGGAGGTCCTGTGACCCTGTTACTCTGGGCTACCTCTGCTATTCCTCATGTGTTCATAGATTCGTCCAAGTCTATGAATTATACTTTAAGTATTGCTTTGGTTTCATCTTACGGAGTTTTGTATGTATACATATTCACTTAAATATTTCGTTATTTCCATCTTTTTATATCTTGCAAAGGGACATATTTTAGCTTGCAAGTATAGGGAAAGTTTGAAGCTATCTTTGTAGCTGATTTCTAAATTTATTATGAGAACAGGATATCTATTATGTTATTCTTTTGCATGCTTTGTTTTTGCTTTTGTGGGTTAAGATTTTCTCTTTTATTATTCAGAAATAACCTCACAGTGTTTGTAAATTTGTCTTCTTTGGTATTCAGTGGACTCCTTAAATTTGTGGATGTCCGTTTTTATTTTGGGAAAATTCTCGGTTGTTATTCGACTGTTGCTACCTCACTTTTTTTTTTTTAATTTTTGGAATTCTTATTGGGTAGATATTGGAATGTCTGCATCTCTCCTTCATATCTCAGCTTTTTCTTGTATGCATTTTGTCATTTTATTCCTTTGTGATATTCTGTATTGTATCACCCAACAAATAGTTGCTCCTGCAGACAGCTACCCCCTTTTAAGCTTCAGGCTTATGACAATAGTGCCTGTAGTGAATGCTTAAAGTTCTAGGCTAGGTCGTTTCTCAGTAATCAGCCTTGTGGTTGTTGACCTCCAGTACGTATTTCTTACCGCTGTATTTGAGATAATACTTTTCGTATCCTCCCCCCACCCCATTTTCTATCTATGAAGCAAGCCTGTGTGTGTGTATGTGCGTGTGTGTGAAAATCTTTTAACAGTGTGTGATATGACATTCTCAAACAGAACCAGGCTAAATTTCTATTTTCTGTGATGGCCTGGAGAGAATTAAGGAAAGAGTGAAGCCAAGTAAAAAATAGGCAAACCCCTTCTTTGGAATTGGAGAAGCAAAGAGTGGGTCCCTGAGTTTCCAATATTTTCAGGATCAGAGCTCTCTGAGTCAGGCAAAATGACAGAATGACTCCTAGCTGTTTAGAGATGTTGGGATCATTGTTGGTATACTGGAGTCCCCAGCTAGCCATGGACCTGGAACTGCCCCATTCGTGTACCAGCCAGAGCAGACAAGCACAACCAGATGGGGCATAGCCACAGCTAAGCCCTGACTCGGTTTGGATGGAGCAGCTGGACTTCGCAGCTGCTCAGCTCTGGAGGCGGGCCTTGGTCATTTTCATCCCTTTGCGATAACCCAACCTCCATGGTACTGATCTCATGTTTTGGATCCCACTTACCTGTAGTTTGGCAAGAGTTTATTGTACTTTTAAGAAAGCATATAAGCGTAAATTACAAATAAAGCTTGCCTTTGACAAATAGCAAGTTACAGGCTTGTGCAACTCACTATTCTTCCTCCCCAGGGAGCTGACAAACCCTCCCAGCAGAGGCTTCCTCTCCCTCTCTCCCCTCACCACACGCACAAATACACACACACTTGCAAGGATGTGTATACTGTATACTTACTCCTAGAGATATAATCGTAAGACAATGTTTCTTTTTTTTTTTTCCACATAAATGCCATTACACAGTATCATTTGGCAACCTGTTTTTAATTTAAAATTGACTGCAAATATCTCAAATTCTGGCTCATCTGTTATGTATACAGAATTGATTATCATATACCACATTTTATTCATTCTTCACCTTCCCTCCCATTCCTAACTCCTTTCTGGATACTTTTGAATTTTTGCACTCCAAACAGTGCTACAAAAGCATCTTTAGACTTGGCTCCTTATGCACATGGAACAAATGTTTCTTTGGGGATCGATTTTTCCCCCCCTGGAGTTAATTTGAAAATACAAGAGATTTTTTTATTCATGCCTTTTGTCTGCCTGATATGTATGCCCTTATTGGCACTTACTTTCTCTATTAGCACATCTGCAAGAAAGTAGACTGGGACTAACACCACTTGTTCTTATAACTACATAGTCCTGTATTCATCTTGGGCTAATTAATTAATTGTCTCTCTATGTTGGATTTCCTGGTATTTCTATTATGAAGCTTTTCATAGTACAGATTATTTTTTAATTGTTCCAGTTATAATATCTTGAAAAGATGATATTTCTTTTCCTTTATAGATATAATGGCCAAATCACATTTAAAAATGTTAGATGCTTTTGTCAAGATGGTAGGTGATGCAGGGGTGCCTGGGGGCTCAGTCAGTTAAGCATTTGCCTTTGGCTCAAGTCCTAATTTCAGGGTCTTGGGATCAAGCCCCACATTGGGCTCCCTGCTCCCTGCCTCTGCTCCTGCTCCTGCTCTCTTTCTTTCTCATATAAATAAATAAAATCTTAAAAAAAGAAACATGGTAGGTGTTGCTATGTGTAACCCTGTTGATTCCCATTTCCATTCCTCTTTGAAGAGACAGTGTACTTGGGTTTTCTTTTCCTCCTTTCACTGAATATTTGTCTGTTCTCATATATTCTACATGAGAATATTCTCCCCTTCTTAAATATTATGTTACTAGACCAAATTTCATTTACACATTAATTCAAGATTATTTTCTTCTTGTTCCTAAAGTTGGAACAAGTATAACAGGAATCCCTAATGAGAGAGATCCAGGTTTGTATTTTTTCACTAACTAGTTTTGTGACCTTTTGACAAGACTTGCGACATTTATTTAAGTAATCTATAAGAAGAGAAGGCTTGAATAAATGATGTTCAGACTTTACTCCAGAAACTTCCTTGACCAGATGCCCCTGTGTAATTTCATAAACAGTGAGGAACTTGAAATTATTTATTGCCTTGAGTATAAGCACCAATGCTTATTTATGTGTATTAAGATTTTGAACGATAAATGTACAGAATAGAGTATAAGATACTAAAAGCATATGTTTTGTTTTTACAGGTGTTTGTTTTGTCTTGCTGTTTTAAAATTAAGTCAAAATGCCCATAAGACCAGATCTCCAGGTAGGTAGTCCTAGACCAAAAAGAAGGAAGTATTTTAATTCCTAAAATCACTTTTATTTGTTTATAGGTGTTAAGTGCTGTATTTTTAGGAAAAATGAAGCTTGTTTTTATGAAATGGTCAAGAGTGGAATAATTTAAAATGTCACTCTTTCATTTTTTTAGTAGATTTGTTTTCAAAATCTTATTTATGAGGTATGAAAGATGCTGACTATTTACATATGCCTTTTATATTGAAAAGAATTATGCAGTGATTCATGTATAATTTGTCTGGAAATTTTAATGTCAGGGTCTAAAACTGTAAGATACTTGGATTTTGGTAAAAAGACTTAATGTATCTATTTAACATGTATGCAATTTACCACCAAATGTGGTGATCAGATTATAGTATAAATATTCCTTATTAGTAATGTTATACCTTAGTGGTAAGGATGGTAGATTTTGTAAAGGTTATAAATGTATAACACAAATTATATATTTAATTCTTAAATTATATTGATACAGTTGCCAAACAGTGCTTTTATCTGTCTTTATGCATTTTTTAAAAACTATTTAAACCTCATTAAGAAATTGATATTCGGATGTGTTAGGGTTTTATCCACAGTGTTAAGTATTAATTACTATAGAGCTTATTTTGTTTCTTTCATTAATAGGTTTCTTTTTTGAGCTGAGCATAATGATGACTTTACAATAAAGGATATGAAGTGGAAAATTAGTAGACTATATATATATATATATATATATATATATATATGTTTTATGTAGAATCTTGGTATTATGGAAGAAGCTTGATCTCTATCTCTGTTACTCCAAATTTAATAGTGGACAGCTTTAAAAAAAATAAGGGAATTGATATAAGCTCTTTTGAGAATTTTCATGTGGCAATAGTTCTTAAATAACTGGATTGCATACGGTGACTAATTTTGGTTTTGATTCAGTCTCTGTGCCATTAACTGTATTTCTCTAGCAGTTGGAAAAATGCATTGATGATGCTTTAAGGAAAAATGATTTCAAACCTTTGAAAACACTTTTACAAATTGATATTTGTGAAGAGGTGAAGATTAAATGCAGCAAGCAGTTTTTCCACAAGTTGGATGACCTTGTATGCAGGGTAAATACTCCTTTTTGTTGAATGATTGTTAAAATTATTGGATAGCACTCTTTCTAGGAAGAAACACTCCATTGGAAGAAATGAGTAAAAAGGCTTTGGCAAACTTGTTTACAGTTATATAAATAAGTGCTCATTTTTTAAAAAAATCTGGAGTCCCAAATAACATATTAGACTACTATTTTCTAAATACAATACACAAAAAGTTAATGTTTACATTGTGTTGCCACTATTAAATGTTACCTAAACTGAGGAAAAATAGTTTACCTATTTGAAGTTTGAAAAACTTTAAAAATCTATCAGCATATTGTTCATGTAATGGGGACAGTGCTTGGTGCTTTGAAAAATAAAAACAAATAAACAAAAATTATCCAAAATCCTGGACTTGATTTATTATATGTAAGGCATTTTTTATACCAGAGAAAAGGTGATTATTCACAGTACCCCAGTATCTGAGTTTTGTTATGAATCTAAAAGATTGAGTAAAAATTTATTTCGATTGGTTAAATACATAGAGCTTTTTGGAACGAAAGGTAACTGATTCATTGTACCATAGTCTAAAGTTTCTTGAACTTATACAAATCTGCATTTTTGTGCTGGGTTTCTCATTCACAGGCTGGGTGGCTTTAAGCCTTGCTTCTGTAAACCACACTTCTGTATTTGGCAATATGGAGATGATGGTAGTAGCTGACTTTCAGGATATGTGAGCATTACACAGTGCCAGTTCCACACTATTTTGTATTTACAGATGTTTAAATATGTACTTTTTGTTTTAGGAACTTAATAAAAAGGATATCCAAGCAGTTTCAACAATTTTGGTTTCTTTTGGAAGATGTGGCAAAAATATCACTATATTGGGGCATGCCGGACTTACAACTATGATAAAGCAAGGACTGGTCCAAAAGATAAGTATAGAATGTGAAATATTTATGTGAAGGGAAATAAGATTGAAGGTGTGTTTTCTAATAAATAAATGTTCAAAAAGTCGAAAAATAAATTTGGGTAGTTTACTTAAAACTTTAGGTAAAATAAATATTTTTGTAACCTGAGCTATACATTACAAAGATAAAGATCAGAAAGACACCCTCTACACCAGGCTTCTTGAGGATCATGTGAATTTAAGGTCACAAGACTCCCTGAGGCCTTTACTTGCTCTATTTTCTCTTATCTATTTACTGTCTAACTTTGTTTTTCTTTTTATACTGCTTATTATCTATTTCCCATGCTAGAATGTAGAATATTGATTTTATTTGTTTTATTCATTTCTGTATACCTAGCACTGACAATAGTACCTAACATGTAGTATATTCTCGAATATATGAATTAATTAAAGTAAAATAACACCAAAACTTCTCAAATAGTAATAATGCCAAAACAACTTAATTTATGATGATTTATTTTCATCTATTAATGAATGTACCTGAACTAGGAATTTGAAAGGGGAAATCAAGGTCTTCTGCCTAGAATTAGGATTAGTTCAGCCATTCCCACCTAAACAATGGTAAAATACAGTGAGTTACCAAAAAATGAAAACAACAAAGATGTTTAAAAACATAAAACTTCTTTTCGTATAATACTGGAATTTTTATTTTTAATGTTTCTTTATTCCTAAGTTTACTGTTTATGCAAGATAAGTACATTCTTAAAATTATTAAAATTGAATTCAAAGTAACTAATGTATACATTTCTTTTTTTACATGGTTGCCTGGTTTGAAAAATCAAAGGAGATTATTCTCAGCCGAGGAAATTCAAAAGATGAGGCAGTTATAAATATGATAGAAGACTTATTTGATCTTTTGATGGTAAAAATCACATTGATTAACCAATCTTACAAGCATGTGTTTATTTAAAATACAGTTTGTGTTCTATATGTCCAGAGCCCAAAAGTCACCAACAGATTGGTTAGTGACTTGAGTGGATTAGTCTGCTCAGATTATATAAAGCACTTATCCTGAGAAACACAATAAATAGTTAATATGTTAAATAATTACATGGTGAATTCAAATGGGATCTGTTACTTTAATACTGTTTTTAATATTTACTACTATATCAATATACTATAATGGTTTATAATACAAGATGATAAATTACAAATTAAATATTCTTTTTTTTCAGGTCATACATGACATCAATGATGAAGGTATAATAAACATTTTCTTTCTTTTAAAACAATAATTTGCTTTTAGGGTTTTAATATACTTTTGCTGTCCTCAGAGTATTGTCCTAATATTAGGAATCTAACTATTAAATTTAAGGATCAACAACCTTTTTCTGTAAAGGGCCAGATAGTAAACATTTTAAGCTTTGTGTTAGGACCAAGCAAAAGAAATCAATGATACTATATAGGTACTTGTATAAGAAGAAAGAAAACAGATTTCCACAGAGATCTTGGTACAATTCAAGATACTGCAATAATTGAGTACAGTGTTTTTGTAATATAGGTCAACTAATGAGACTAGCACTCTTTTGAGGCGATGACATTTCACTTAATTAAGGCTCAGAGTTAGTGTTTGCTCTTAACAGAATTGATTGCAAATGTTCATTTTTTATGCTTATCTGTAATGAGATTTTATGTAAATTGCATTAGAAAATATCTTTCCATGTAGATAATGCCAAATACTGTTATCAGTTCATGAGCATGACTTTTAATTGAGTATGTTCATCACTGGGACAGCATTTATGGAATTATATTGGATTCTTAGTGTTTGCCTTTTAGAATGTCATTGCATCGCGGATGAATCACTTTCAACGGAAGGCTGGTGGAAATCCCTCAGCCGAACATTTAAATGGATTTTGAAATATGGAAATTTCCTTTGTACTTCATCAGTGTCCAGAAATGATGCTGGACCTGTAATTGGAACTTAGAAAAAAATGTACTCCTGTAAATGTGTGTGGGAATGGAGATCTCGCTCCTTGTTTTAATTTTTGACCACCTGGGAAATGGATAAAACCGTTTGGCATTATTTTGATTCAGATAACCTTCCTTTCATTGAAATGACTTTAGTGAAGTATAAGTTTCTCATATAAGAATGATTTTTGCCTTACGACTTTGGGTTGAATTCATTTAGAAATATAAACTCTATAGCCCATGCTAATTACTGAAGCCGTTTAGATACTGGCTAAATTCCTGAGAGGAGAAGGAAATTCAGTGCGATAGTGCTGGTTCAGTGATGCAGATATTTCCATTGAGTACCTGCTGGTGAATAACAGCCATATGAAATGGGCAGTGGGGTGGACTTGGTTTGTGGGCCCTAATTTGCCAACTCTTGACCTAATGGGACAGAATTTTCAGTATGTAGCGCACATGACAGCTCGTTCTCACTTACAGATGACCGCTGCTTTTTGCCTGGGCGGCAGTCCAGCAAATTATTTTATCTCTGTTGGTTGAAGAATTACCTAGGATTGGTCACTGAGGCTGGAGAATTGTTTATAAATAAAAGGACAGTTTGCCTTCAAAGCCAAAAATTTTTAAAAGCTCAATTGCTATTTACTTCAATGTAGTTAATGCTACCTTTTCATTGATTGCTTTACAGCTGACATATAATCTAGCCTAAACTTTTAAGTTTTTAGGGAAGAAGACAGTCCTAAAGCATCAGTGAATATGAAGTAATCCATGTGCTTTTTTAAGTAAATAATTATATCTTTTTACCTAATTGTTTTTATTCTTTTTTTACCTTCAGTGTAGTTACCTGGAAAGTGGTGTATTTTCTGTCGTAGTATTGCCATTATTTAAAATTATTGTTTAAATTTGCATTATGAAATAGCATGTGGCAAATTCCTCTGAATATATTTAGTATTGATAAAACCTTGTCTTTTGAGACTCGGGTTAACTTTAGAAAAAAAGCTCAGGATATTTAGATCTTTATATCAAGGAGTGATTATGGCCATTATGGAGCTTTCGATATATGATTAAATTAATGAGGCCAGTTTTCATAAGAACTTCATGATAGAAATTTCACTTTTGAACTATATTTATTTCATCTGAAAAAAGCCCTCCTATCTTAAAACTGAAAGGAGAAGCTGAATCTGAAGTTATGCCTTTGCCAGCTCAAGATGAGTCAAATCTGTTGAGAGGTGTTTTTTCCAAAGCCACAGAGCTAGTTAGTGGGACAACTAGGACTGGATTTCATGTTTCCTGTTGCCCAAGACTGTCAGTGGGCCTTTTCTGAACTAGTGCATTCTTTCATTGATTCATATAAGAAAAGATTGCCACTTAAAAGAATTTAAAATACACATTTATTAATGATTTAACATTTTCAGGTAGAAGGCAAGTACTGGAAAGTTTTGTGCCTCGAATCTGTGTCCTGGTTATTGACTCAAGAGTGAATATTTGTATTCAGCAGGAGGTAAAACCATTTGTCAGATTTTTTTAAAAAACTAAAAATGAGAGAGTGAAGCAAATTTAGTAGCAATTCATCAAAATGCATAATTTTTTCTTGGTACTGAATTAATTATGTAGTATATTTCTGTTGTCTTAAATTCATTGTCTGACATGATGAATAAATATGTTACCCAAATATTTATTGAAAATTCATAGCTATCTGTGTTTATATATGCATATAGCTTGTATGAAAATAAATTATAGCATCTAGATATTAGGAGTTCTCAGTATTTAAATGTTAAAAATAACCTATATTAATATGTGTATGTGTGTACATATATATAACCATAAGAACAAATATTAAGTAATAGTTTTTGTTCCTTTAGTTCTTATAACAGAGTAATAATAAACATATGTCTTATTGCAAAGAGTATAACTGGAATCTTGGTATATTTTATTCTTGATATCCTTTGTTTCATGTTTTTTGTATTCACTATTTTATACTTTATATTCTTTTCTCTACCCTTCTCCATTCCCTACTTAAAATGTTTTACTAAAGGGAAAAAAAAATAGGCTTCTAAGTTTGTATACCTAGAATATTTCTCTAAATACTTAATGTTTCACTGAATATATAAAGTTAATGAATTATCTTTTTTTCTTTTCTAGACTCTAAAAAAAATGAATGCTATGCTTGACAAAATGCCTCAAGATGCCAGGAAAATACTCTCTAACCAAGAAATGTTAATTCTCATGTAATAATTTGTACCATATTGCTTTAATTAGTGGTTCAGGTTAAGAATTTAAAGAATATTTTATAAGGCCGTAAGACAACCATGAGTTGCATTAATAATTAAAACTGATAAACTATTGTAGATTTCTGATATAATTCATGGTTATATTTTCTGCAAAAGTCTATGATACTCGCCAATTGTAAGTTTTAGTGAAGTTTTTGCCCCCTAAATATGTGGGTTTTTTATTTAATTGGTACTAGTTTGGTATGTAATCTGTTATTTTGATTTACAGGAGTAGTATGGGAGAAAGGATTTTAGATGCTGGAGGTAAGTATGCTTTTTCAAAATGTTCATATTTGGAACTATTCCGAATTTATTAGTAAAATATAATATCTCTTTAGTCAAAATAATATTAACATTGTAATGTAGTGAGATTATGTGAGGGAATTATAAACTATGTACAATCAAGCAATTTTCAATTATTAATAGGTGATTAAACGATCTATATCTGTGAGGCTAAAATAATAATTAAACATGACAGTAGGAGTCTTCAGATATAAATTGTGCCTAATGGTAGACTTAATGAATAATAATTTAATTTTTTAACATATTTGAATTACTTTTCCTAAGAAATTCCTCAAATGGTGTTTTGTGACATTATTAATATTTTGGGGACTTAAAGATTTGTTTTTAAACAATGAGTTTTTTAAAAGAACTCAATCTTTTCTAAGTTTAGTATGAGAAAATTTTGATGTAGTGGTTTACATATCAAGCAAACCACTGGTTAAGGTACTTTGGAATGACTGTAACCATCATACAAAAGTAAAAGCTTCTGTGATTTATAGACTATCCTGTGAGTTATTTTGCAGTTCACAACTCTAATAATGGCATGGCAGGGTCTTTGAATATTTAGGAGTTTCTTTTCAAATATCCTTTTAAAAAAAAAAGTTTTACTCTTTTCTTCTATTAGTAAACTTGTTATTTGTACCAAACTTCTTATTTGGGCTGTGTTCATTTCCGTACTGATGAGATCTGTCTAATCCATATGAACAAAATAGCAAAAGATGAGTGAATTACACCAGTATTTTCCTTCTTTCTCTTGCTTGTTCTAATTGCTTGTAACCAATGACTTTTATAAACTTATTTTTCATACTTTCTAATAATACATTAACAATTTTTTTTTAAGATTATGACTTACAAGTAGGTATCGTAGAAGCACTATGTAGAATGACTACAGAAAAACAAAGACAAGAATTGGCATGTCAGTGGTTTTCAATGGATTTTATTGCTAATGCATTTAAAGGAATTAAAGATTCTGAATTTGAAACAGTAAGTAGTATAAAAATAATAAATTAACAATAGGGGTTTTTATTATTATGCTTTTTTAAAGTCTCTTTTTTTTAAATTAGGATTGCAGAGTATTTCTCAACCTTGTAAATGGCATGCTTGGAGACAAGAGAAGGTAAGCTTAATACAGTATTCAACCATTTACTGATAAAAAAAAAAAAACAAACAACTAGCCCAGGAGCCAGCACACAGTGTTGCTGTACCTTTAAAATGTACTTGGTCATTTGGGATGTAAAATGCACAGGGATATTTAAAACAATATTTTTTTGTAATACCATGTATAAGTTACTGCATGGTCGACTGATATAATCTCCTGCGGGTCTTATTTTACTTTGTCCTTTTTAGAGGAAACATGTATTTGTACTTAGTAGTTAAAAACTGGTTTATTTAGAATTACATATACCTTATCATAAATTTAGTGTTTGAGGAATAATGGAAACCTAGTATTAATATTGCGTCCTTCATCCACATACTGGAATAAAAATATATAGCAAACAAATTATCTTTTTTTAATAATTCACACACTGTAACACTAACCTCTTTCTGAGGTTATTTCATCTCAGGAATGGGCGTCAATGAGAAGTAATTAGCACTTTTGATAGTAACAGAGCAGGATTTGCATTTCATTCCCTGGAATCATATTATAGATGCTCAGGACACCTTTATTGAACATTTACTTTACTTACTAAGGAAACAAGGACAGGGTGAGGGTTGAGTACAGGGACTCAGACTCTTTGGATTTGAATCATAGGTTCCCCTCTTCCTATTCTAATGTGGGCAAATTATTAAACTTACTTGCCTCAGTTTCCTTAGATGTAAAATGAGAATACAGTAATACTTACCTCATATGTTTGTTGTAGAAATTAGATGAGATGATTATGTTAAGTGCTTATAATAAAAAGTGTTTGACCAACAAAGTGTTCGGCAAATTCAGTCATTTTTATTAGCTGTATTATTCACTTCTACTCTTCTTCTCCTATGTAAACCCTATGGGAGCTTCCACTATCTTAATAGTATAAGCTAAATTAGGAATTTCTACTTATACTCTATAGCATAAAAAGTAAATTGGTATAGTCACTGTAGTTAGATGGGGAGGCTGAGTAGTATCCTCAAAATAGTATACTTTTTCTACAGAAACAAATTTCCATTAAACTCTTATTTTAGTTTAGAAGGAGATAGGATTTTATTTAAATCATTAGGACCACAGCCTGATTACCTTTTGATCCTAGACATGATTTCTTTGGCTAGTCAAGATTACAGTGTGAAGCCTTATTAATACTTTTTTTAACATGAACTGCTTTTTATTTCAGGGTCTTTACATTTCCTTGTTTATCAGCATTTCTTGATAAATATGAGGTAAGTTTTAAATTTAACATGTTGGGGTACCTGGGTGGCTCAGATGGTTAAGCGTCTGCCTTCAGCTCAGGTCATGATCCCAGAGTCCTAGGATCAAGCCCCACTTTGGGCTCCCCGATCAGCGGGGAGTCTGCTTCTCCTTCTCCTTCTGTCTCTCTCCCTGCTCATGCTCTCTGTCTGTATCTCTCTGTATCAGAAGAGTTAAAATGAATAAATGAATGAATAAATAAATAAATGAGACATATTTTAGGTATTAGATGAACTTTGATACATGATCTAGTGAATTATAGGTTACAAGTTGACAAGAATGTTAAAAATAGTCATAACTTGATCACAAGTACAGCTGGGCTAGTATTCGGTGTCTAAGAGCCATTTTATGAAGTGACGTATTTATAGCCAAGGATAACTGAAATATAAAGGCTGTACTTCAGATTTGCTTCTTTTCCCTTTAAGTCAAGCCCATTATTGATTTAGCATTCAATAATATAGTCAAACTAATATTTTCAACCTTTATTTGTACTTGGAATATTTGTGATTTCTTGGAGCTAGCTAATTTCTGTGTAAGGTATTAAAGCAGCATTTCTTTTTATTGTTTCTGATTAAATGTTGTGCTTGGCTGCTCTTTCTCTTACCTCATCTTCTGGCTGTCCTCTTTTTTTTTTTTTTTTTAAAGATTTTATTTATTTATTTGACAGAGATCACAAGTGGGCAGAGAGGCAGGCAGAGAGAGAGGAGGAAGCAGGCTCCCTGCTGAGCAGAGAGCCTGAAGTGGGGCTTGATATCAGGACCCTGGGACTTGATCCCAGGACCTTGGGATCATGACCTGAGCCAAAGGCAGAGGCGTTAACCCAGTGAGCCGCCCAGGTGCCCTTCCTCTTTTCTTTAAAAAAACCAAAAACAACAAACAAACAAACTCAACCAGGAATATAACATAGTCATAATTTTCTATTGTCATTTTTAAAATCATTGTATATAATAATTTTTTATTTTTTTTATTAGTTGCAAATACCTTCAGATGAAAAACTTGAGGAATTTTGGATAGATTTTAATCTTGGGAGCCAGACTCTGTCATTCTACATCGCTGGAGATAATGATGTAAGCTTCATTCCGTCTGTCATTTTATGTTTGTGTGTATATATGTGTTATAAAATGTTTTAATTTAAGAATGTGGATTTTTGTTCATTTGTTTTTCTGGCTATTTTAATAGATTTCACTATTAACCCTATAGTTCTGATTAGCATGGTAGCCCATTCCATTAATTAGAAATGAAGATTATTTCTAATGTCTAATTGCAACAGAAAAATTAATGCTAGATTTTCATACTAGTTTTTTAACATAAGATTTTTCAGAAATAAATTACATGTTAATTACCTAACATTTAACACTCATATGAACATATGAACTGGAATCTAGAAAAGATGCCAGTTACTCAAATGTAGAGGCACTCACTTAAAAAAATAATTTAACAAATACTGGTAAGTGGTCTTATCCATTCATAAAATCTTCTATTTGAAAATAGTGAGGTATTGATTCTTATGGTAGTGTTTAGAAATGCTGTAGTTCTTTATGTGCTGTATTGTAGCTATATTTAAACCTTCCAACCAGATGGTATATTTTCTGACTTCTTTTTAACCTGAAGAGAATTCTCGAGCCATTGTTTACAAATACCTACCACTTAATATTTAGTCCAGGGGCATACTTCTAGTCTGGACTATATAGTTGCTCTATAAAAATCCAACTAAGAGTTGATCTGCATTTACTAATCTAATTGCAGTTGCTAAATTTTAATGAGGCACTGGTCTTTTTACTCTGTCTTTTGTAAAATCCTGCTTTTTGTTCCAGGTAAACTATAGATAGACATTAACCAAATGCCCCTGAGGTTTTCCACATACCCTTATTTCTTTTTATTTTAGAGCATCTTCATAGAATACTTAATTAAAATTGAGTTCCAAATATTAGCACAGCTTCTCAGGGTCACTCACAGTTTTAATTGGTGTATTTATTCCAATAGAGTCTGTAGGAATATTTTTAACTAGTTTATCTTTAGAAATGAACTTCAGTTTTGGGAGAGGAGGGTGGAATAGGATCGATGTAGTCCCTGCCTGCATACAGTGTGGTCTAGTGGATGATTCCAACAAGAAAATAGCAATTATAGTATGATATCCGGTAGGTATACTATAAAAAGCATTTATAAATGTTAAATGCCTGCCATGTGCCAGAAATGAACCTAGAAAGGCAGGGAGAGTCCTCCAAAATGCATATTTAGAATTCTCTCTTTCTTGGATTTCTCTGGCAGTAGTATATTCACCCTGTATTCTCTGACTTTCCTAAAAGCCATTCTCCATGTAGTGGCTGCTTAAAATCCTCCTTCTGTCTCTTTAACATTGTGTATGAGGGTCATTGTGATCTGGTCCTTGGCTATTTCTCTGACATCTCAGACCATTCTCTATGCTTACTGTGGTCCAGCCACATTCATTTTTTTTTCTTTCTTTAACAAAGATCGTGCCCATTTCAGATCTTTCTACTTGTTTGTTCTTCTGCCCAGAAACTTCCAGATCTTTGCATCTCAGTTTCTTCCCATTTAGATTTCAGTATAAATGTTGCTTCTTTATAGAGATACTCTCTGGTAACTCAGTCTAATGTTTAAAGTTGCCTCCCACCCATATGATCCCCTGAATAGATGCAGAAAAAAATATTTGACAAAATACAACATCCTTTCTTGGTTAAAAGTCTCCACAGTGTAGGGATAGAGGGAAGATACCTCAATATCGTAAAAGCCATTTACAAAAAGCCCACTGTGAATATCATTCTCCATGGGAAAAACTGGAAAGCTTTCCCCCTAAGGTCAGGAACAGGACAGGGACGTCCACTCTCACCACTGTTATTCAACATAGTACTAGTAGTCCTCGCCTCAACAGACAAAAAAAGGAAATAAAAGGCATCTGAATTGGCAAAGAAGTCAAATTCTCATTCCTCACAGATGACATGATATTTTATGTGGAAAATCCAAAAGACTCCACCCCAGAATTGCTAGAACTCATATAGGAATTCAGCAAAGTGGCAGAATATAAAATCAATGTACAGATATCAGTTGCATTTTTATATACTGAAACAGAAGAAATGGAAATTAAGGAATCAGTCCCATTTACAATTGCACCCAAAACTGTTGGATACTAGGAATAAGCCTAACCAAAGAGGGGAAGGATCTATACTCTGAAAACTATAGAACACTCGTAAAATAAATTGAGGAATACACAAAGAAATGGAAAACACTCCATGCTCATGGATTAGAAGAACAAATTTTTTTTTAAGACTTTTTTATTTGACAGAGAGAAATCAGAATTAGGCAGAGAGGCAGGCAGAGAGAAAAGGGGAAGCAGGCTTCCATTGAGCGGAGAGCCCAATGTGGGGCTCGATCCCAAGACCCTGAGATCATGACCTGAGAACCAGAAGAACAAGTATTTTTAAAATGTCTTTGCTACCCGGAGCAGTCTGTACAGTCAATGCAATCCCTGTGAAAATATCACCAACACTTTTCACAGCACTGGAACAAATAATCCTAAAATTTGTATGGAACCAGAAAAGACCCTAAATAACCAAAAGAATTTTGAAAAAAGAAAATTAAAGCTGGTGGCATCACAATTCCGGACTTCAAGCTCTATTACAAAGCTGTAATCATCGAGACAGTATGGTACTGGTGCAAAAACAGACACATAGATCAGTGGAACAGAATAGAGAGCCCAGAAATGAACCCTCAACTCTATGGCCTACTAATCTTCAACAAAACAGGAAAGAAATATCCAATGGAAAAAAAACTCTTCAACAAATGATGTTGGGAAAATTGAAAAGCCATATGCAAGAGAATGAAACTGGATCATTTTCTACACCATACAAAAAAATAAACTCAAAATGGATGAAAGATCTCAATGTGAGACAGGAATCCATCAAAATCCTAGAGGAGAACATAGGCCCATGTGGCACATTTGACCTTGGCCACAGCAACTTCTTGCTAGACACGTCTCCAAAGGCAAGGGAAACAGGTAAAAATGAATTATTAGGACTTCATAAGGATAAAAAGCTTTTGCACAGCAAAGGAAAAGTTGACAGAACCAAAAGACAACCTACAGAATGGGAGAAGATGTTTGTAAATGTCTTATCTGAAAAAGGGCTAGAATCCAAAATCTATAAAGGACTTATCAAATTTAACACCCAAAGAACAGATAATCCAGTCACAAAATGGGCAGAAGAAATGAACAGACATTTCTCCGAAGAAAACTTACAAATGGCCAACAGACACATGAAAAAAAAAAAAAATGCTCCACATCATTTGGCGTCAGGGAAATACAAATCAAAACCACAATGAGATGCAACCTCACACCAGTCAGAATGGCTAAAATTAACAAGTCAGGAAACCACAGATGCTGGCAAGGATGCGGAGAAAGGGGAACCCTCCTACACTATTGGTGGGAATGCAAGCTGGTGCAGCCACTCTGGAAAACAGCATGGAGGTTCCTCAAAAAGTTAAAAATAGAGCTACCCTATGACCCAGCAATTGCACTACTGGGTATATACCCCAGAGATAGAAAGGTAGTGATTCTCAGGGGCCCCATGCACCCTGATGTTCATAGCAGCAATGTCCACAATAGCTAAACTATGGAAAGAGCACAGATGTCCATGGACAGATGAATGGATAAAGAAGATGTGGTATGTATATATAGATATACATCTATATATACACAGTGGAATTGTATTACACACACACACAATGGAATCGTATTACATGTGTATAAATACAGTGCCATTGTATATATTCCATTGATGTGTGTGTGTGTGTAATATATATGTATATATATACCCCACATGGTATATGTGTATATATATACACACACACACACAATGGAATACTTCTCAACCATCAAAAAAATGAAATCTTGCCATTTACAATGACGCAGATAGAACTAGAAGGTATTATGCTAAGCGAAATAAGTCAATCAGAGGAAGACAATTATCATATGATCTCCACATATATGTGGAGTTTAAGAAACAAAAAAGACAATCATAGGGGAAGAGAGGGAAAAATGAAACAAGATGAAATCAGAGAGGGAGACAAACCATAAGAGACTCTTAATGATAGGAAACGCACTGAGGGTTGCTAGAGGGGAGGTGCATGGAGGGATGGGGTACCTGGGTGATGGGCATTGGGGTGGCACATGATATAACAAGCACTGGGTGTTATGTAAGACTGATGAATCACTGAACTCTACCTCTGAAAGTAATGATACACTGTTAATTGCGTTTAAGTTAAAAAATAAAAATAAATAAAAATCATGAACATTTCCATAATATAAAAATTTCTTAGAAGGGGAGGCAGTGAACCAGGAAGCATCACATGCAAACCATTTTGTGTGTGCCTCAAAGGAGCAAGTGTTTTTACACATAGAAAATAAGAAGTTGCTCAAAGCTTTGGGGCAGAGAAGAGGGTAGCAACCCTTTCCTCCTGACCCTGAGGCTTTGAGGTATGGGAGAATTAGCACCTTACCTGGAGATGCCATGATGGTGGTGGTGCCCTCAGCATATGGACACGTTTCAACTAAGGAAAAGAAGTGGAGGGAGTTAGTGAAGAGATTGAGGGTTCAGGGTGAATTTCTATAAAATGTCCTTAAGTAACAAAAGAAGGGAATCTATTTTCCTTACAAGATTAGTGGAAATTTTTAGGATCTCATCTTTTAGGAATGATATCTAATTTTTCCTGTAGCTTTTTTTGTGAATTCAGTATTATTTTATTAAGTTATACAAATTTTCAGTGAAAGCTCATGGAAGTGGGGAGGGGCAAATATGGTGATTATTCATGTGCATTCAGTGTTTGAATCTAAGGTCGGTCAATCAGTGAGTGGGAATTGAGGAATACGTAGGATTTCACACTCTTTCAAAGGCATAAATGACAGGATTTGGTAACTTTTTTAAAAAAAGGATATCCTCTAATAAATATTAATGGTAGCAATTGCTTTTTTGGTCAAAATCAAGAAATTATACCATTATACCATGAAATCATACCAATATTTCCTTTTAAAAGTGAGCAAATAGATTAAATGTGACGCTTTATAATGTATTACACAATCAATGTAGCAAGAAATGTGTTACTTAGTGATACTTAATAAAAAATAACTTTATTGTTTGAATAACTTCTACATTTTTAAATTGGTATTTAAAGAAGATTTAAAGCAGAAGTAAATTATTTATTTATAGTCAAACCTGTTTTTATTTAAGGATCATCAGTGGGAAGCAGTGACTGTCCCTGAGGATAAAGTACAAATATACAGCATTGAAGGTATTAAACTTGTTTTCTCTAACTCTTCTCTTGACTCTAATCACGTGGGGTAGCAGCTGCATGCTCTCTGTGGAAAAAATAGACTAATGAAAACAGTCAAAATTTTCATATATTCACATTCATAAATTTGATGCCAGTATTACCTGAACCTGTATTTCCTCCACCCCAATTTTCAACTCCTTCCTGAACTTGTTTTCTGTATCTAGTCTAAAACCTATGACCACTTTCTTGTCAATATGTTCAAAGCTCTTGCCTTTCATCCTATTAGTTTGATTGGATCCAAACATCTAGTTGCTACACAAATATAACTGGGATTGTTATATTTGTGTATATAACTGCTGGCCACGTCCTACAACTTGCAGAGTGGTACCACTACATATTCAGATATCAAGATATATTTTAGTCATTTTGCATTTGCTTTGTGACCATTGATATATATTCCTTTGTGAAGTATCCATTTAAATATTTCATCCTTTTATACTAGGCTGTCTTTTTTTAATTAAGTTTTTGAGTTGTTACATATGCAGGTACCAGTCTTCTGATAGATAGATGTTCTGTGTAATAGTATTTTCTCCCCATCTGCATCTTGCTTATTTATTTTCTTAGGGATATCTTTCATGAGCAGAAGTCTTTAAGTTTCGAGTTCACTTGATCACATTTTCCCATGGTACTTGTTGCTTTGTGTGCCTTAAGTCATTTTTGCCTACTACCAAGTCACAAAGATGTTCTTTTGTTTGTCTATAAAAAACTTTGTGGTTTTAGCTTTTATGTTTGGGATTTTGATCCATCTCAAATTAACATTTGGTTATGGTATGATACAGGAGTTGAGGTTCATTTTTTCATATGGACATGCAATTATTACAGGACTGTTTGATGAAAGGCTTTCCTTTCCCCATTGGATTTCATTGGTTCCCGATTTGAAAATCAAATGGCCGATAGAAGTGCACATCTTGTTTCTTGAAGCTCTACCGCATGGATCTGCTTGCCGTTCCTTATGCAGAAGTATCACACTGTTTTAATTTTTGTAGATTTATAGTTAGTTTTGAAATCAGATAGTGTAAGTCTTCCAACATTGTGGTTTTTTTCAAGGCTATTTTAGAAATTCTAGACCTTCTGTATTTCCATATATCTTTTAGAGTTGACTTATCAATTGCTATAAAAAGCCTGCTAGATTTATGGTTGCAACTGTAGTTTGATAGAGGAAGAAACAACTTTGTAACAGTAGCTAAGTATCTGAGTCCACAAGCATGGTGTAGCTTTACATTTATTCAGGTCTTTAACTTCTCTTAACAATGCCTTGTAGTTTTCAGTGTAGAAGTCGTACACATCCTTTGATGAACTTACTCCCACATCTTCAATCTTAATCTTATATGATTATAAATAGAATTGATCTTTAATTTCATTTTCCAGATATTTTCTGCTGGTATGTAAAAATACAATTGATTTCTAAATACTTACCTTGTATCCTACAAACTTGCAAGTCACTATCTAGTTCCAGTAGTTGTAGTGTGGATTCCTGAGGATATTCTAGGCAGTCCGTCATGGTATCTGCAAATAGAGATATGGTTTCATTTCTTCCTTTCTGATCCGTATGCCCTTCCTTAATGAACTTCCTTCCTTTATCCCTCTCCCCCACTTCTCCCTCCCTTTATTCTCCCCCACTCCTTTATTCCTACCTTTGCCTTACTGCAATAGCTAGAACTTCTAGTACAGTATTGAATAGAAGTGGTAAAAGAGGTCATCTTTGCCTTCTTCATGATCTTTGCTTTGGGAAGAACATGTAGTATTTGAGCTTCAAACATGATGTTAGCTGAAGGTTTTTTGTAGATGACCTTCCGTCAGATTCAGGAAGTTGGTTAAGTCTTCATGTGTATAAACACATGTGAAACTCTTATGCAATTCAAGGTAATAAATATATCCAGTACCCCTAAGTGTTCTTTATGCTCTTTTTGATCTATACTCAGGAAGATCTAGCCCCAGGAGGTCATTGATGTTTTCTCTACCATGGACAAGTTGACATTTTCTGCAATTCCTTTAAATAGAGTCTTACAGCATATAGCAGTTTTTTTTTTCTGGGTACTTCTTTTCAACAATACCTATGTATATGCATATTTATGTTAGTATATGTAATATAAATAAGTTTCCATGTACCCACTCACCCAGTTTCTCCAATTTTTTAAATTGTGGTTAAAAAAAATAGAACATAAAATTTACTACCTTAACTATTTTTAAGTGTATAGTTCAGTAGTGTTAAGTATATTCACATTGTTGTGCAACAGATCTCCAGAACTTTTGTCATCTTGCCAAATTATAACTCTATACCTGTTAAACAACTTCCCTTTTCCCCCCATCCTCTCAGCCTCTGGTAACCACCATTCTACATTTTTCTTCTGTGAATTTGACTTTTTTTTTTTTTAAAGATTTTTTTTTTATTTATTTATTTGTCAGGGACAGAGGGAGAGAGAGCGAGCGAGCACAGGCAGACAGAGAGGCAGGCAGAGGCAGAGGGAGAAGCAGGCTCCCCGCCGAGCAAGGAGCCTGATGCGGGTCTCGATCCCAGGACCCTGGGATCATGACCTGAGCCAAAGGCAGCCGCTTAACCAACTGAGCCACCCAGGCGTCCCGAATTTGACTATTTTAAGTGGAATTATACAGTATATATCTTTTCATGACTGGCATTTTTCATTTAGCATAATGTTTTCTCCCATACTTTTTTTTAAAAAGATTTTTATTTAATCTCTACACCCACCTTGGGGCTTGAACCCAAAACTCCTAGATCAAGATCCATTGACCAAGCCAAGTGCCCCTCATTTTTTAACTTTTACATCTTTTTTTTTTTTTAACATCTTCTATATTTGTGGTACCTACATTATTGCATTTTAAAACAAAAAAAACCTACTTGGATCATCATCTGCCTCTAGTTGGCTCACTCTTTTTCCATTCACAGTCAATTTTGAGAGATCGTTTTTACCAAATCTTTTTTTCTCCTGCTTCTCAGTCCTGCTGTTACTACATTATTTTCCATCCACTCAACTGAAATTTTACATGTCAACATAATAGTTAATTTTTTCTTAAAGACTTTATTTATTTATTTGACAGAGATCACAAGCAGGCAGAGAGGCAGGCGGGGGGGCGGGGGAAGCAGGCTCCCCGCGGAGCAGAGAGCCGGATGCGGGGCTTGATCCCAGGATCCTGGGACCATGACCCAAGCTGAAGGCAGAGGCTTTAACCCACTGAGCCACCCAGGTGCCCCAATTTTATTATTAATATCAGTATGCACACTTTCAGTCTTTATAATGACCCTTCCCCCACATTTGATACTGTTGACTACACTTTTATTTTTGAATCTTTTTTCCTAATTTCCCAGCTAAGCTCTATATACTTCTCCTTTATTTCCTATTTGACAAAAGGTATGATAACCATCCAGGTCCCCCAGAAGGAGGCATTCTTGATTGTTTCTTCCCCCTTAACTAATCATTTTTCATGTTCATTTATTTCTCTTAACATTTTTTGAATTTCTTTTCTCCCCTTTATTATCATGCTAATCACTGCTACCACTTTCTAATAAAGTTCTGTCTTTTGCATCTTGCCAGACATAGTTGCACATAATTGGGCCAAAAAAAAGTTATTTTCATTGTTTTAATAGCAAAACTTGATTTTTCAGATTTATTTTCCAACATTTAACTCTTCCTAATTATATGAGGACACTTTTATAAAAAATTACGTTCTTTATGTATGGATTAAAAGGGGTTTTTTGGAGCTTCCTGGCTGGTGAATAAGAATGAACCTTCATGCCTGGAGGGTGGGGCACCCTAAGCTGCTCAGGGACAGGTGCTCCTGTGCTCCAGACCCTTCCAGACCTCACACTGTGTATCTCTTCACCCAGGTGTTCATGTGTATCCTTTAGTGTCCTTTGTAGCACAGTGGTAGTCTGGTGTAACCTGTATGGAATGGACAAAATGTGAATTTTTACATGAAGGGCACACATGGAAGTAAGAAAGAAAAAGTAGAATCTGGAACTCAATATTTACAGTGAAAAAGAATTTCATTAGTTGCAGACTGAGGGGTGGGGAAGCAGTAGCGATGATGGATTGCAGGCAGTTAGACCCTTTCATATATAAAATTAAGAATTGATAAAATAAAGGCTCCATGGGCAATCTTAAAAATTTTTTAAATGCCTTCATAGGAGAAAATATTATATTCATATAGTGCATTTGAATCTCATATAAATATGTTTATTTATAAATACTTAGACTTATTTAAAGATTTATTTATTTGAGAGAGAGTGAGAGCACGCGCGTGCATGCCCATGTGCAGTGGGGGAAGAGGCAGAGGGAGAGAGAGTCACAAGCAGACTCTGAGCTGAGTGCAGAACCCATTACAGGGCTCGATGTCACAACCCTGAGATCATGACCTGAGCCAAAACCAAGAGTCAGATGCTCAATTGACTGTGTGCCTCCCACGTGCCCCCAAATACTTGGCTATTTAGCAAGCAGCAAAATAAATGTTTTGGTATCTCAGTAATATTGCTAATTAAAAGCAAGCCATGGTATAGTCCAGGCACTTACAGGAGATACCAAAAATTTCAACAAAGCCCACAATAAAGTATAACAAATATCAATAGATTCTTTATAGATTGTCACAGTATATGTGGAGAATATTTTGTACAAAAAAGTGCAATACATTCAGCAATATTTGAAGTAATTCTAATACCATGTTTAGGTAAGCAGTGAAACAAATACTGTATTTACTACAAGTTCATGGCAAGCTGCAGAATAAAATCATCCGAACAAAATAATAATCAAAATATCCATAAGGATTATAAATTTTCTAATATTCATCAGAATTTAAAACATTGTTGTCTTCAAAGCCACCCAGACTTTCATCTCTAAAGCCTGAAAACTTGTAACTGTTGAGACACATGACTTTTTTTTTTTCCAAAATGAAACCACCAGCACTCTTTGAGTTAGAAACTGTCACCACTGTCTTCAAGCAATTAGTAATTCCGAAAGCCATCAAAGGACATTACTGCGGAAGTTTTTCATGACCACATAGTTGCAAAAACATGTAACACATATTCTGCTTGAGTAAGCCTCACAGGAATCAGAATTTTGTAGCCAGTAGGGACATTTGTCCTGTAGGGTAGGTCCTGAAGTAGCCAGTAGAACTTTTCTTGAAGTAGAGACAAACTTTTCTACTTGGCATGCTCCATCTCCATCAGGATGTTTTCCTCCTGCCCAAAAGTACACATTGGGGGCCGGTGTGGCGACTTGACAGTCATCAACGGACGCAGCATCAGAAGTAGTGCAGAGCCGCAAGTGGCCTTTAGTCCACAATACAGGCACGCTAATTGGGTGCCAGGTGATTCTTTGGTGAATACTGGGAGGAAGGGTGGTGAGCACCTCTTAAAAGCTGGCACTTCCGGTATTTTCAGTTCATCAGTCGAATTAATGGAGGAGTTGCACTGACTCTTCTTCTGTTTCCTGGCCCTCAAGGTTTTTGACAGTTGTTTACTGTCAACTTGTTTGTAACAGCTGGATTTAAGAGAAATGCTTGAATAGATGCTTATGCCTAGAAAAATAGTTATGTACGGAACTAAAGTTATTTTCTTTGTTTGCCCCTTTTAAATTTAGCAAATAGTTTTCTTAGATGTGTTCTAGGAATATTTATTAAGAACCTGTTAGTGTCCAGAACATATTTGGGCTTTAGCTCATTAATTATTGTATTAGCTTATAATTTATAGGTCAGGAAACTGAGATTCTGAAAAATAAATTGACTTGTTTGCATAAGTAGTTAACACTGGAATTGATTGTTAAATCCTAAAAGTTAATGTTATTTCACTTCAATTTAATTAATACGCTATGTGACTTTATTATTTATAGTATACCTAGAGAGTGGTATCATAGAAATGAATATAAACTAATCAGTGTGATCTGTTTGTATACAGTGAGAGAATCGAAGAAGCTACTGACCATAATTCTGAAAAACATAGTAAAAATTAGTAAAAGAGAAGGGAAAGAATTGCTTTTGTATTTTGACGCATCATTGGAAATAACTAATGTGACACAAAAAATTTTCGGTGCAAGTAAATATAGGGTAAGTGTTTAAATTCCTTTTAATATCTATTTTCATAAATTTTTTTTTAATATTTTCATAACTCTGGAAAGTTGCAGTTACGTGGGGCTATAAATTTCATTGATTTTTTTCCCCTTAGGATTCTTAAAATGACATACTGATTTTTAGTTCTTTGAATTTTTATTATGGAATAGCCATCAGATTGTTACCCATATCCTTGAGACAGCTGTTAGAATCTCAGAAGACAAAATAAGCTACAGTATTCAAAATAGTTAATGAATTCCTGTTAGGTGTTTAACAAAGTGAATTGAGGCAAGACCATGTTTTTAAGATATTAAACATTTTTTTTTGCGAGAATTACAGAATCTACCTCAGAAGAAGTAAATAAGGGGCAGGTATAGAAGTTGAGAAAAGAGATTGCTCATTAAGATTCAGATTTGAAGGAAAGGCTATTCATTCAGATGGGGCTTGAAATGGCCTTGGACGTTGATGGGTGAAATTTAGAGAAGATGCGTTCTAGGACTGTGGAAGACATCATGAATCAGTAAGGTGACAATTGACGTTATGTTTCAGGGAGCTACTCTTTTGACAAGCTTAGTCTGCTCAGGCTGCTATAACAAAAATACTGTAGACTGGGTCGCTTAAAATGACGGACCTACTTTGTTTTCTTTCCTTTTTTTTCTTTCTTTCCTTTCTTCTCCCTTTCCTTCCTTTCTTTCCCCCTCCTTCCTTCCTTCCCATTTATTTCCATTTATTTTTCATAGTTCTAGAGTCTAGAAGTCCAAGATCAAGGTACCAGCAGACTTATTTTCTGGTGAGGGCCCACTGCTTGGTTCACAGTAGCTGTCTTTTCACTGTGTCTTCATGTGGCAGAAAGGGTGAGGGAGTTCTTGGGGTCTCATTTTATAGGGACATTGATCCCATTCACGAGGGCGCTGCCCTGATGATCCAATCACCTGCCAGAGGCCCCACTTCCTAATACCATCACCTTGGGGATTAGGTTTCAATATATGAATTTAGGGGGACACATTCAGTTCATAGCAGTGCAAAAGATTTATGGTGAAGAAAAATAGAGACTGTGTGGAGAAGGGTATTTATGCATACAAAATAAAGATTTGAGAGGATTTGGGAGTTTTGAAAGGAAACAGGAAACAATTGTATTAACATGGAAGGAACTGGGAGAAAATAACATTACGATGAATTAATTTAATTTTAGGAATTTACCAGAAAACAAGGTATTTCCATTGCCAAAACATCTGTGCATATACTTTTCGATGCAAGTGGATCACAGGTATGTGTCTGACTTACTTGGTTTTTATCACTCGGCTACGTTGAACCCTAAATAATTGCACAGTATGATGTTGGAGGGTGAATATCTAAAAAACAAACTGTCTCAACATATAGAGTCCCAATAAGGTATATGCTTTTTTAAACATGTTATTAAAGATCACTTATTTTAGAACAAAAGATAGTTATACTTTAAAAATTAGGTATATATGTCCTGCCACTAATGCCATCGCTTGTTTTATGTCTGTTGACATTCGAAAATGTGGGTGCTTTTTGTTGGGACACTATGTAGGACTAAGTACATAGAAAACAAGAAGAATTGACTTTTTTAAGTGTGGGACGAATGGATGCTTTATTAAGATACCTAGTGATTTTTGAGAACTTCCTGTGGTTTGCAGTTTGAAATACTTTTCTCCACATTCTCCAACAGATTCTAGTGCCAGAAAGTCAAACCTTGCCCATCGAAGAGGAACTCATTGCTTTGAAAGAAAAACCTAACTCCCAAAAGGAATTTGCTAAACCTTCAAAATACATCAAAAACAGTAATCAAGGGGACAGAAAGAATAGTCAGCTTGAGGTAAATATGGTCTCAAATAGCTGCTTAAAAAACAGCACAGGTCAAGTCATTGTGACATACAATATAGAAAGAAGCATCTAGAATTCACCTTAATGGCCTTCATCAGTAACATTCAGAATATTTCCTCTACCTTTTACACATGCAAACCAAAGATAGTGTTTTAGCAGTTGTGTTTATGTGCAGGGTAAGAGGGTCAAGACAAGGTATACTATACACTTGCAAATTCCAAGTTAGAATTGTATAAGAAAGTACCCCTTGTTACATTTATCCTGTCTGTATTTGCTTTTGGCTGTTACGTAGAATACAAATCTGTAAGTAATGGTCTCTTTATTTGCACAAGGAAAGAAAACTAAGTATTAAGCTCTTTTTCCTCCTCCTGCTGCTGGTGGAGGCTCTCCTCTAGGCCGCATTCAGCCGAACCAGTTCTCAGCCGTCCTGTCTCGTTGTGACACTTGACATTGCGAACAGCGCTTTCTTAATGTCCTTTCCTTCTTTGATTGTTAGCCTTTTAGTTTTCTTCCTGCTTCTGTGACTACATCAGAGATACTTTTTCTCCCTGCATCGTAAGTGTAGATTTGCTCTGAAAGCTCGACTCAGCTTCCTGAATGTCTCTATGCCCTCTCCCTTAAAGAGCTTCCTTCTTGTGCATAGTTTAAGCTCTTACACCAGACCGCTCTTCCAAGTGCTGCAGTGAAATCTCTACTTACTCTTTGAATGTTTCCTTTGGTATGTCTCTTCTTTTCCTGAAGTCTAACCTCAAACTCTTTCATCTTTTGCTTCAAATGTGCATCTGCCTCCACACTTCAATAATGCTACCATTAATTTTCTGATAGTATCCTGAATCCTGCCTCCTCTCCCCCGACACCAAGGTACTCATGATGGTTCTTTCGTAGTACCTCACGCATCCTTTCCTCCTCATTCCTTTCGCCCTTACTCATTTTAGCACACCCAGCCCAGCCCAGCAGCCTCCTCATTGGCCTTTGACTCTGTGAACTGCCCCATTTGGTATTCCTTCCCCTAGCTTTTCTTAATCCCACAGTCCGTGTTGCATTCTGCTCAGAGTTGTGGCATCTCTGTGTTTATCTTCCTGCATCTAAATTTTGACTCAGTTCTGAGTCCTTCTTCAAATTCGTTTTACTCTGCATAGCCACCACATTAGTAAGGTTAACTGCTTTCCTGCCTCTTTTTAAGATTTTATTTATTTGAGAGAGAGAGAGAATGAGAGAGAGAGAGCGAGCCTGAGAGGGGGAAGGTCTGAGGACGAAGCAGACCCCCCTGCTGAGCCAGGGCCTCCAGGATCCTGATGGAGCTGAAAGCAATCGCCTAATCAGCTGAGACAGCCAGGCGCCCTTTCCTGTCCCTTTTAACGTCACACTAATTCTTGCCTCTATACCCTCATTCATGTTGTTTGTCCTTTTGTTTACCTTCCCTCATTTAATGTGCTGCTGTTACGTTTGCAAGTCTTGATTTTCACTTTTCTTCATGGACATTTTCCCGTTTTAGTTTTTACTAATTTCTCACCTTTAGACAACTTTAACTCTCAGAGGCTCTTCCATACATTTTGTCATGTTGGTGTTATTCACTGTTTTTTCCCATTAGTCTTATATCTGTCCTTAAATGAAAAATTCCATCTTCTGTATTTCTTGGACAATTAAATTATAAAAGCCATTTTCTGTGTTTTTATATCGAAGTCATAGCATTTAAAATGCTGATTCCTAGGGCGCCCCACCTTAAACTTATTGAGTCATAAACTCTAGAACTTAAGATCTCTGAGAAACAGTACCCTGTTATTAAATACCACCATGTTTTTGTTAAGGATTGACTGTTTGAAGCATTTATATGAATAGGTAACTTCCCGGGTCCCATTCACTATGCCGCTAGGAACTGTCTTTTCTTGAGGAATGCATTGTTTCAGTAGTTTGTTTACTGATTAATCATAGAATTCCCCCTTTTCCTCTCCTTTCTACCCCACCTCCACACCCCGTTTACAGACCTGTTAAAAACTCCTGCAGTATTTTTTTTTTCTTAGTCTTAGGGGCAGGTGCCTTTTGAAAAACAGCTCTCCTCTGCATCTTTATGGTTCATCTGTTTAGTCCCTGTCACGGCGTCCTCTGAGACTCTCTGTTCAGTGACTCTAGGGTGGAGTTAGAAAATGAACATCTTTACTGGAACCGCCAGCTACTGTGCTGCTGAGTCTCTGAATTCCTATCGCAACTTTTTACTCCAGAGTTACTTTAGTCCTCACAGAATGTTAATACAGTTTTTAAAAACATGTGAAAAGTTTTGAAGAATGCTAAATATTATGAAAGCATTTGCAAATTTACATAAATTTACATAAATACATATCCAAACGTACACTGAAATAGAATAAGAAACTGAGCCATTGGTTATAGATATACTCACTATCAATAAAATATTTTCAGCTAGCATATAAAGGTGCTGTATTTCATATGTCTGGATATTCTATAAATACTTGTTAGAACAACATTCCTTGTTTTGGCTACCTATTCAATACCAAATATTAGGGTAAAACCTACGTCAACCTAAAACACAGACACTTACGGATATCATGTTGTTTCTAAAATACCATAGATCGGGGAACCTGGGTGGCGCAGTCGGCTGAGTGTCCGGCTCTTGGTTTCCGTCATGTGCTCAGCACAGAATCTCCTTGCTCCTCCCTCTCTGCTCTTGCCCTGCTTGTGCTTTCTCTCTCGCTCTCTCCATCTGTCTCTGAAGAGAATAAATAAAATCTTTTTAAAAAGTACCTGGGTGGCTCAGTGGGTTAAAACCTCTGCCTTATGGCTCAGGTCATGATCCCAGGGTCCTGGGATCGAGTCCCGCATCAGGCTCTCTGCTTGGCAGGGAGCCTGTTTCCTTCTCTCTCTCTCTGCCTGCCTCTCTGCCTACTTGTGATCGCTCTCTCTCTCTCTGTGTCAAATAAATAAATAAATAAAATCTTAAAAAAAAAAAAGTACCATATATCTTTAGTGTGTAGTCAAGGTAAAATGTTACCGATAAAATCATAGAGTAATTTCAAAAGAGAGTGTGTTTTTACTCTGGCTGCTTCTCGTGATTTCAGATAACTACTCCTAGCAAAAGAAAAATGTCTGAAGCATCAATGATTGTTCCTGGTGCGGACAGATACACTGTGAGAAGTCCAGTACTTTTAATCAACACATGTAAGTTGTATAGTCTTAAAAGCCTTCTAATAAACATATTTTTAAAACAGGCATTTTTAAATTCAGAGATATTCTGGGCATAATTTACATAGAGGATAAGTTGGGGATACAGAAATTGTTAATTTACAAACCACAGATGTCTTCTAATTGTCAAGAAATTTCAAATTTCTGAGAAAGGCATATTGGTTATTATCATGTAAACATTATTTAACGTATTAATAGCCAGCATTAATAATTTATTGTTATTTAAGTGGGAGTCAGCTGTAACATAGTAGACAAAACATTGAATTAATCAGGATGCTTGTGCTTATTTCCCTTCCCCCCAGTTGTGTGCTTTGTACAGATTGTCCGCCAGGTAAGTTTAGAACCAGTTTTCTCTTTATAAAATGGAACTCAAGTGTCTATCTTATCAGGTTGTTTAGAAGACTAAATAAAAATCATTCACTCAACGAGAAATATTGTGAAACATTTAGACAGTGCCTGCTACATGCTAAGGATTAAATACAAATAAAAAAAATAATACTATATACTAGCTTCTATAAATCACAGTCTTCTTTAATCTATATGACAATTTAATAGTGACCTCTGTTCCCAAAATCCAGTTGCCTACTGGGCAGGTATCTGATGTCCAGTAGGCTCCACAGTAATTCATCTTTCCACCCTCCCTGCCAAGTTTTTTGTCTATTTCTTACCTTGTTAAAGGGCATCTGTATCCATTCATCTAAACCAGAAACGTGGGACCTATCCTAGCACCTTCCTTTTTTACTTTCCTCATCTGAAAAGTACCTCAGTAATAGCAATATGTAATTTTAGAAGCCCTATAAATATAGCCGTCCTTTGTCCCCCCTTTTTAGCAACACCTCGAAGAGGAAAAATTAAACCACCACTGCAAGTGATGGGTTCTGCAGAAAAACCCGATGTACCTAAAACGTCACAAAGTGGAGTGGACAATGCTGTATCTCTTGTATCTAGACCATCTGAAGGAAGAAATACTGGAGCTAATACAGACAAAGTAATTTTACTTTGAAAACATTTTTAAAAATGTATCAAGTCATTGTAGAAATACATATTGAGCTAATTTCTTTTGCAAGCAGAGAGTGCCTCACTTTGTTTAAAGCATCATCACGTGTGTGTATATATGCACACACACATACACATATATGTATATACATGTATATGTGTGTGTGTGATTTATTGTTCTTGAAAGTCAGTTCCTTCTGACGGGATCTACTTATTAGGCTAATAGTAAAATCGAGGAATATCCATTCAGTATAACTCTGATTAATGTATTCAGTAGGAGAAATGAACTTGGCATCATTCTTTAGTTTATTATACAAGTTAGTGGCTGCTAGAAATATAAGATACAAGTGGACTCTGTCCTTAAGTATCTCAAAGTCTAGTGTGGAAATCAGACAAATTAATAAGACAATTATAATATTGTGTAAGTGTTCTCATATTGTACACATAGGATGCAGTAGGAACCTAGTGAAGGGGCAGTTACCTAACTCCAAAGCTGGAGGGGAGGGTGAAGATCAGAAGATGCTCTTTAAGGAGATGGAGAGTGAGTTGGTTTTTGAATGGTCAATAAAGATTAGTGAAGCAGACATGAAGGAGAAGGGCATTCATTCCAGGTAGTGGAAAGGACAAAACAAAGAATAGCTAACAGAAAGTAATTTCTTGGAGAGATGAAGGAGGTAGTTGGAGATACAGATAAGTAAGTTTGTAGATGAGAAATGCCTGATAGTTTTGTGTCCTCTGAAGTGTGAGGTGAACACGGTGATTTTGTCTTGTCAGTATGCTCAAGTAGTGGGCTCAGGGACACGTAAAGACTTGAAGCTGTTACGAAGAGATAATGGGGAGGGTAAGTAAAGGATAATGAAGAATAAGTAAAGGTGTTAGGTTGACGGCCCTTTCAGTTTAAGACTGAATTTTATCATGGCATCAGATCAGAAATATGTGTCATTTACTCCAACGGAGCAAAAAAGAATAGGTAGTGGATTTAAAAAAAAAAAAAAAGTCATGTGGCCAAAGGATGAATGGTGCAAGAGTTGAAGATACTCGGGGAAAAAAGTCAAAACTAATTGTTCAAATTAATTGGCTAAATGTTCCATTATTAGGGTGCTGTTGTTCAGTGCTGTGGCGTGGTCCTGAGTGTGGTCGGATGGTGGGCATCCAAGGCCTGTGCTTGCTTGTACCAGTCAGGGGAGCCTTTCTGTCATTGGAACAGCCAACACATACCTGCGTGCTCTCCTACTGCTCCTGTCCTCAGATGGAGAAGTGCCTGCTAGACCAAGTAGGGAAGACAGCCAGCATGAGGCACCACATCTTAGCCTGGAGGGCATGTATTTCTGATTGTGATGGCAGATTATCATCAGATCTGTGGCTATGAAAAGAGGGAAGCTTGGTGGAGACAAGAAGTTATTTGTTCAGTGGCAACAATTTTACAGAATCCTTTAATATTCTAGAATTGCCAAACCTCGCATGTATGTTAGTGAAAAGACAGTAGATGCAGGTTGTGAGATCAGCTGCAGTAGATGTTCCATGGTGATTCTAGAAATTGTCGGTTATGGATGAGAATGGAATTACTGTACTAGCTGTGGATGAGATCAGAAAGTTTGTAGGCTCTTCTGCCCTGTCTGTAATGAAAATTATTTTCTTGTGTTTTAGGGTAAACAGTATTCTGGAATGGGCATACACTTCATGAAACCATAGAAATACTATCCAACTTTTAGTAACACACAAGGCAAATTATTTTAAATGTTTTAAACTTTGATACTCTGACTTTTAAGAGTTGTTTTCATGTAATCTCTTGATTTAAATTTACATTACTGTGTCTTCTATGTGTTATAGCACATCGAAACTGCTAAAGTTGTAGGGAAGACAGAGAATAAGAACATTGAATTCCCAAACCAAAATATTAGTAAGTACTTTCTTGGTTTAATTTCACTTTCTCTTTTAAAAAATGTTATCATTTCATATTTCCCTTTAACTCCACTGGCTTCATTGATTTGAAAAAGATTTATAATGAATGCATTTGGCTTTATGAAAGGAGCTTAGAGGTTACAAGGCAATATTATACAGTCTCTATTTCTAAGAAAACCGATCTCTGTATCCTAATATGTGAATCTAGATCAACTTTTATACCAACTCCCATTTTACCCTGCCAACTGCACAAAAAATTGAAAATGCCGTAATTTTTGTTTTGTTTAATTTAGATGACCTGCAGGATGTTGTTCCAGATTCCCAGGCAGTGGAGAAAATAGATAAGCCTATGTAAGTATGAAGAAAACCATCAAATAAGTTAGTATATATTAATGTTGTTTTTACATAAATGTAATACATTTAAAAGAAAAGGCATTTATATTCTTAGAATGTAGTATTGGCTCTAGCACTAATCAGCTCGAGTGTTACTATGATTGCACAATGGTGAATAGTCTGTGTTTTTTCATGACCACCAACATAACTCTTTCCCAAATTGAGACTTACAATGAATGAGATTTTTTAAATAATTAAGTATGAATGTGAAGAAATTTAGCCTAGTTTAAATACACAGTAGAACATGTAAGATATGTGAGATATATTTGAGATATCTTTAAGTAGATACCAAATAATAGCAATAATGGAACTTTTTAATAGTTTTTAATCTGATCAATTACATAGTAAGTTTTAAATTTCATAATGACTTAGCAAAATGTTTTCATACTTGACTAATAAATTGCTATCAGTAAACACTGACTAAACAAAAAATCACAGTCTCATGTCAGAGTCATAGGCTAATGTTTTGTAATACATTAAGCAAGTTATTTTATTTTCCAGGTTACCTGGTGTTTCGGGCAACATCTGTGGAAATAAAATGCCCTCCAAATGGTCGTGCTGGACTCCTGTAACAAATATTAATTTGTGTAACAACCAAAGAGCAGGCACTTCATCAGGAGACACATTCAGTCAAGGTGAAACAGCCTTTTCTCAGTATACAATAGTAGCTCAGGGAAATACTTATTTCTTGGAAAGTCTAATGTCTTTTATTTTAACAAATTTATGTATCACCAGTTTATTAATTTAATAAGGATTGGTTTTTATTTTTCCACTAGGTGTAACTGTCAACAAAAAACTTAGGAAACAAAAATCATCCTCTTCCATATCTGAGGATAATTCTGAAGAAGCAGAAAAGGTGCGATATAAGAAAAAAAAAATGCAGCATAACAAAATAGAGAAAGCAGAAGTAGGAGTTTGCAAAAGAGACACTCAGCAACGACTAAATCATCCTAAACATTCAGAGCAGAAAAACACTGAAAATACCAAGCAAAGTGATTGGCATATTGAATCTGAAACTACTTTTAAGTCTGTTCTCCTAAATAAGACAGTTGAAGAATCTCTGATCTATAGGAAGAAATACATACTGTCAAAAGATGTGAATCCTGATGTTTGTGATAAGAGCCCTTCTCCTAGAAAAAATGTGAAAAGTCATAGAAAATCAGGGAAAAGATTAACGTCGGAACTTAATTCCTGGGATCTGAGACCAAAAAAAATGGTGAGTTTTCGGTGTGTTTGGTTTCTGCATACCTATAATACGACTAGCTAATAACATGAGACAGTGAAGGAAGCCCGATGGGCTGCTGCAGACTGATCATTTGTAAGACCGTGACCTTTAAGTCTCCAGTCAGAGTGAGCGCCTCCTGAACTCCCTCTCCTCGTCCTTGTCCCTGTCCCCCCTCCCAACCGGTGTGCCCACAGGTGCAGGGCAGGTGTGTAAATAGGTGTGGTATGAAGGCACCCTGTAGCTCCTTGTGTCCTCCTCATGGTTTTCTTCCTCTCTGTCCTGCAGATGCTTTGAGTATATAGAACTGTCTGTGTCTCTCTTGTGGTGCTTACCTTTCTTTTAAAAAGTAGTTATTTGTGTCTATTTTTCTCCTTGTTTTAACCTATTAGAGTGTAAAGACTATGTTTTATTCGTCATTTATTTTCTTGCATGGCCCCATTCAGTTATGCACATAGTAGCATCTGAAACCATTTCTTGGATTATTGCATTAGAGTTTGACAGGTTTTGTCAAATGAGAAGAAAAAATGTAGGCGGAGTATAGGAGACTGTCTTCCACTGTCCTGTTGCTCATCCCCACTGGAGTCTTTACCTTCTCCTTCAGATTAATCATCTGTGGGATGCTCTAGGACAGTTTAAGCTCATCTTCACCATACTTTAGATCAAAAGTTTACTTTTTGAGGTAGTTACTGTAAATATCTTTTGTCATTGCTATCAAGATGCAGATTAAGACTTTTTTTTAAAGGAAAGTATTTTTTTAATTTTTAAAAGATTTTATTTATTTATTTGAGAGAGAGAGTAATAGAGAGAGCACGAGTGGGGTGAGGGCTGGAGAGAGAAGCAGACTCCCTCCTGAGCAGGGATCCTGACGCAGGGCTCAATCCCAGAACTCCAGGATCATGACCTGAGCCGAAGGCAGACACTTAACTGACTGAGGCACCCAGGTGCCCCAGAAAACTTTTTAATTAGAATACATTCCACTGCCAGGGATAGAATCTGTTTTTCACTCTTCTTTAGAAGATCCAGGGTTTTTTTTGTTTTTGTTTTTAACATATAATGTATTATTTATTTCAGGGGTACAGGTCTGCGAGTCATCAGGCTTATACAATTCACAGCACTCACCATAGCACGTACCCTCCCCAGTGTCCATCACCCCACCACCCCATCCCTCCCACCCCCCTCCTTTTCAGCAACCCTCAGTTTGTTTCCTGAGACCAAAAGTCTCTTAAGGTTTGTCTCACTCTCTGGTTTGTCTTGTTTCATTTTCCCCCTCCCTTCCCCTATGATCCTCTGTCTTGTTTCTCAAATTCCTCAAGTCAGTGAGGTCATACGATAATTTTCCCTCTCTGATTGACTTATTTCACTTAACATAATACCCTCTAGTTCTATCCACATTGTTGCAAATGGCAAGATTTCAGGGTTTTTTGATGGCTGCATAGTATTCCATTATACACACACACATAAATATATGAGGGGTTTTTGATGGCTGCATTATACTCCATTTTGGGTTTTTTTGATGACTGCATAATATTCCTGTGTGTGTGTGTGTGTGTGTGTGTGTGTGTGTGTGTGTGTACCACATCTTCTTTATCCATTCATCTGTTGATGGACATTGGGCTCTTTCCATACTTTGGCTACTGTGGACATTGCTGCTGTGAACATTGGGGTGCACGTGCCCTTCAGATCACTACATTTGTATCTTTGGAGTAATTACCCAGTAGTGCAATTGCTGGGTCATAGGGTAGCTCTATTTTCAACTTTTTGAGGAATCTCCATGCTGTTTTCCAGAGTGGCCGCACCAGCTTGCATTCCCACCAACAGTGTAGGAAGGTTCCCCTTTCTCCACATCCTTGCCGATACCTGTTGTTTCCTGACTTGCTAATTTTAGCCATTCCGACTGGTGTCAGGTGGTATCTCACTGCAGTTTTGATTTGGATTTCCCTGATGCTGAGTGGTGTTGAGCACTTTTTCATGTATCTTTTGGCCATTTGTATGTTTTCTTTGGAGAAATGTCTGTTCGTGTCTTCTGCCCATTTCTTGACTGGATTATTTGTTCTTTGGGTGTTGAGTTTGATAAGTCCTTTATAGAGTTAGGATGCTAGCCCTTTATCAGATATGTCATTTACAAACATCTTCTCCCATTCTGTCAGTTGTCTTTTAGTTTTGTTGACTGTTTCGTTTGCTGTGCAAAAGCTTTTTATTTTGATGAAGTCCCAATAGTTCATTTTTGCCCTTGCTTCCCTTGCCTTTGGCAGTGTTTCTAGAAGGAAGCTGCTGCAGCTGAGGTCAAAAGGTTGCTGCCTATGTTCTCCTCAAGGATTTTGATAGATTCCTGTTTCACATTTAGGTCTAGAAGATCCAGGTTTTATAGGCTTCTATTTTCATTTATTTTCCAGAGTGGTATTAATACCTGGAGAGGCAAATTTCTAGAGTTGATATAAAATGTCCATGTATTGGAGCATCTCAGTATGCAAATGAAATACTTAATAGATAATTTGCTTTTGTTATTTATAATTAGTCATCATTTCATTTGTCTGGACCAGGCTTTTTATTTTGACTTTAATCTGCAGTTCACTTTCTGTGCCTTATTTGGCTACTTTGTTCTTTAACAAAATCCTTTTGGGTCACTTTCTCTTGTTTCTTAGTCTGCTGTTCTTCTTTCTAGTTGTAGCTGCTGTTTAGTTCTTCAGATGCAAGGGAAGAAGGTTCTTTTTGTCTGAATGCTGAATGTTCTCAGTTTTTATTTTAAACTGTTTCCCTTGGAATTTAGAATTATTCCACAGAATTTCCCTGAGCTGGTCATTGTTTTTTTTTTTTTTTTTTTTTTTTTTTTTTTTTTTTTCTGGGACCACAGAAACTGATCATTGAAACTGTGCGCTCATTTTTTAAAACCAACTTCCTGTTTCCAGAAGTTCTCTTCAGTCTTTCATAGTGTTGCTCCCGGTGTTATGATAGAGGACTTTCTGCCACTCACAGGCATGATGACTCTCCTCTAAGGTAGTCATCTGGTCCCGCTTCCTGTTCACTGGACTAACCTAGAGAAACAGAACTTCTGCAGCTTAGTGGTACAGGTTTCCCAAGGCAGCTCCAGTCATGCTGGAAGTTCCTAAACCATACACTCACTATTCTGGGGGAGGTTCATTTTTGCTACATTTTTATCAAACCAAATACAGTAATCTCAAGAAGAGACAGTAAATAGTAACTTATGATCTATATTACATATAAAAACATAAACTGAAAAATGATTGAAATAGGCTTCCTGGTTGGCTCAGTTAAGCATCCGACTCTTGATTTCCGATCAGGTCGTGATCTCAGGGTTGTAAGATCAAGCCCTGCACTGGGCTCTGTGATGGGCGTGGAGCCTACGTGAGATTTTCTGTCTCCCACTCCCTCTGCCTGAAACCCCCTCTCACTCTGGCTCTCCTGAAAAAAAAAAAAAAAAAGTAAATTTTTTGTTTCTATTATATTTTACCATACTTTTGAAAAAAATGCCTGATTCCCAGAAAAAGATAAAACTAATGATTAGAGTCAGGATAACTCGTATCTTTGAGTATTATAGGGAATTTGAGCCAGGTTACCTAAAATTATGCAGATGATAATTGTAGTCCTTCCATTTTTGAAGTAATAGTATATTTTACCTTTTTTTAAAGTAATCCCTACACCCAACATGGGTCTCAAACTTATGCCCCCCAGATCAAGAGTTGCACACTCCACTGACTGAGCCAGGCAGGTGCCCTTAAACAATGGTATTTCTTAAGGCAGTTTCAGGTGTACAAGTACACCGAGACTTCCCGTTTCCCCTTCGCCCACACCCTAATTTCCCCATCATTAACATCTTACATCAGTAGGTACCTGGATTACGAATTATGAACTAGTATCAATACATTACTATTAACTAAAGCCTATAGTTTAGTTTAGAATTCAGCCTTTGTGTTGTATATTCTATATGTTTTGACAGATGTGTAGCAACACGTATTATCATACATAATAGTTTTAATGCTCTAAAATTCCCTTGTGCTCCCCACCCCCTCATACTACTGGCAGTCCCTGACCTTCTGTCTCCGTAGTTTTGCCTTTTCCAGAATGTCAGAGTTGGAACCATATAGTATGTAGTCTTCAGATCAGCTTCTTTCACTTAGTAATAGCAGTGATGTTTTCTCCATGTGTTTTCATGGCTTTACAGCTCATTTCTTTTTACATGCACGTACCAGGATTATTTAGGTGTTCACCTGTGGAAGGACATCTTAGCTGGTTTCTATGGTGTGACAGTTACGAATAAAGCTTCTGTAAATGTTCATTGTGCAGGTTTCATGTGGACATAAGCTTCCAGCTCATTTGGGAAAATAGAAAGGAGCATGATTGCTGGATCATATGGTCAGAATGTGTTCAGTTTCATAAGAAACTGCCTGTCTTCTGGAAGTGGAAAAGATGGCTGTACCATTTTTGCATTCTGAGCAACAGATGAGAAAATTCCTATTGATCTAATCCTTGCCAGTACGGTGTTGTCAGTGTCTTGGAGCTTAGCTACTGTTATATGTGCTTGGTGGTATCTCATTTTAATTTGCAGCTCCCTAATGACACACACATCTGAGCGGCCTTCTGTATTTTTATTTACCATCTGTATGTCTTCTTTGGTGAGTTGTCTCTTCAGATCTTTTGCTCACTTTTTAACTGGGTTCTTTGTTATTGTTGAATATTAACAGTTCTTTGTTTAATTTAGATACAGGCATGCCATACTTTGTTGCCCTTCACAGATACTGCATTTTTTTAAAAGATTTTATTTATTTATTTGACAGACAGAGATCACAAGTAGGCAGAGAGGCAGGCAGAGAGAGAGGAGGAAGCAGGCTCCCTGCTGAGCAGAGAGCCCGATGTGGGGCTCTATCCCAGGACCCTGGGATCATGACCTAGGCCAAAGGCAGAGGCTTTAACCCACTGAGCCACCCAGGTGCTCCAGATACTGCATTTTTTATGAATTGACGGTTTTTGGCATC